CTTCATTTAGGTCACCTCCCTAGAAGCTCCTCCCAGCAGAAGCGTCAGGCTGTCTCGCCTCCTCATTCCCTCACCTTCCCTGGCCCATCTCCTGAACCCCTGACCCCATAGTTCAGTTCAGAACCTTTCCCCGAGTCCCAGGACCGGGCCAATTCCTCAGGCTTTGTTTTGGCCCCCACTTTGATTTATTTCATTTGAAAGGTCTTAATGTTTTATTCAGAGCCTTGACTTACCCAGTCTACAGTACTGCTATGCAAGATCAACTCCTGACAATGTTTTTCTCATGTCCCGTACTCCTTGGTTAGAAGCTGAATTCAAGTATAACAACAGCCAGCCAAGACAGCCAGTGCTTAGAATGCTGATTGCCACGTCAGGCAGTCTAATTCATACCTGGCACTCCTACCTATACAGCTACTTTTATAGGCCACAGATGGAACAAAATTATCTTCACAAGGCCTGAAGCTTAGCTATTCTATTACCAGGCATATACATATAAATTAAAGTTACCACCATTCATTTTAATCACGTTTCTCGTGTCTGTTTCTTATTTCTAACTCCGTTTACCAAACAGAACAATGTCACAACTCCTCCACCTGGGGCTGCAGTATTTGGCTCATGGTTATTCTTCTCACAGCAGCTGTACCCCCTAGATGTCACGGAGCCTCAAGCTACTTTCTAAAACCAAAGAGAACTTGCTCCATAGGCATTCATTTCCCCCAGCAGAGACATCCTGGTATTTCCGTCATGAAGGCAGGCATTCCTGTAACAATCACCGCCAACTGTCCCACGTTACTGCGCTCTGGATCTACAGAGATCATGGTTCCCAGCCACAGAATGCCCACGTCCTTGCCAACCCCTCCCTCACCTTCCCTCAGCCCCATTTCTCAGTCTGTAAGGAGGTTGCCTTTTCTTCTTTACACCAACCACAGTCAATCTTCGCTGTACTGCTTATAAGACGCAGACGTTGCTTTCTACAATGTCCTCCCTCCTCGCTACTGCCTTCTTTCACCTTACCCATGTGTTGATTATTTCTGCTTGATTTCCCTATGACCAACTCAGGATTACAACTTGGGATAACGCACTGAGGTTTAAAGTCAACACGTAGTTTTGGTAACTACCACCTTTACCCAATCACAAATCCTCCTTGATTTAGCAGGACAGGAAGTCAGGAAACTCTGGGACTGACAAGTTTGAAGCAATCAGGAAGGTTAGCAGGTACGCACATGGAATCAGAATGATGGAAGGGACGCATATTCAACTTGGCATTGTGTTGACAGCAACATCTCTCCCAGCCCCACAGCCAGCTGGGTCAAGGTTTGACAAGCAATGGAAATCCACAACTTATTCCAGCAGGCTGCCCAGGGAGTATGCCACTGTCCTCTGGAACCCAGCTGCCCGCCCTACAATGGTACCTGTCAGATCTTCATGGAGACCTAAGCCAAGGGTGCGAACGTGACACATGGGCCTCTTCAAACGTGTTGACTCCTTCACCAACACGGGAAATGGACTTATGTAACTGAATATGTATTTTTAAATCAGACACAAAAGGGGTTGTATGCGGTTTCTCAGAAATTCAACTCTTTAGGCAGAGGTAGAAGGCCGCGAGCCTCAGCTAGATCACTTGATGCAGATCTCGTGCTCTCTCCTGGCCCGGCACACACAATCTACTCACACTGGGCTACCCGCTTCCCCCTCTGTCTTCCTGAGAGTACCCCAGCCCCACCGACAAAACCTTGCCTCCTCCGCCTGCCCCTTTCGGCCTAAGCTCACGGAACCCGCACGAAACCCGGGCGGGATGAGCTAGCTCTCCCTCTGTGGGTTACCCGGGGCTTGCTTCTGGCAGACGCACAGTGCTGGATGGCAAAGCAACACTGAGGTCAGTACATGCTGCTCTTATAGGGAGATTTGTGGCCTGCAGTCGCTCCTTCCCACAAACACGGGAACGGGTATGCCTAAGAGCCCTGACCCAGGCCTTGGGTGACAACACGTGGGCCTACCCCACTCTCCTCACCCCTCCCTCCCAAATGCACCAAGAGCATCCACAACACCGGGGAATCCTGGGGTACAGAGGGAGAAAGTCTTCCCTCCCCGGCAGGGGCAGCCACACGTGTGCCCTGGGTGCCCCGGGCCCTGCGCTCACCTACGCTCCAGGGAAACCCCAGAGCTGGCAACAGCAGCAGCCTGCCTGGGTCAGGGCACCCAAGGCCTCCACGCACAGGGAAGCTGCATCTTCCTCCTTCGAAAGCTGCGAAACCGTGGCGAGGAAGGCGGAGCTGCCCTCTTTATTCCCACTGGCTGCGCCTATGAGCCTCACCTGCCACGTGCCGGTCCAGCAGGTGCACCGTGCACCTCTTCAGGATCACACCCGGCCGTGCTCTCTGTGCGCCCTGGGTCGTCATGCCTTGGAGGCCCCTGCAGGCTATCCTCGCAGTGGCTGGAGGGCTGATCAGAGGCGTGCAGAATATCTGGGGACAGATCCAGGGAGCCACGCCATCAGTGGCAGCAAGGGTGCTTACTCTGGTGAATTCCTTCGAAGACCATGGAGTGTGGCCCAAGCCGGGGCCAGTGGAACTGGTTGTCTATACCAGACACAGGCAGGTGGGACGTCTAAAGGGTAGGGCCCCATCAAAGCTGGAGTTGTGGCTATGTACCCATCCCCCAGCCTGGACACCAACCCCAGGCCCAGCTGTCTCACCTCCATGTAAAGCAGGAAGCAGAGCACCTGGAGGTAGGAGAGTGAACAGGCAGGAGGTGGAGAAAGCAGAAGCCAATCCAGGTGGAAAGGGGGTGGTTACTGGGACAAGCAGGGGACATTCAGCTAGGTGCAGGGACCCCACGAGCTGCAGAGGAGGGCAGAGGGTGCGGGTGGGCTTTAGCAACCCAAACACAAAACACATAGCTCAATCTGTTTTGTCCCATGAACCCCAAGAGATTTCTCAGATTCTTGTGTCCAAGTTTCCAAACACAGAAAAGCACCAGGCTGCACTGTGCAGTATGGCCACACGAGGCTACGGAGAGGACATGGAGCAAAAATGGAAAGTCCAGTTCCTGGGCCGGTGCAGTGACCCAGCACCCCACAGGGGCGCCGGTTCCCGGCCCAGCTCCTCCACTTCCGATCCAGCTCCTTGCTAATGGCCTGGGAACGCAGAGGAAGATGGCCCAGGTGCTTGGGCCCCTGCTACCCATGTGGCAGCCCCCGAAGAAACTCCTTCCTTTGGTGTAGCACAGCTCTGGCCATTGCAGCCATGTGGGGAGCAGACCAGTTGATAGAAGATCCCTGTCTCTCCTCTTTCTGATTTTTTCAAATAAATAAATAACCTTTAAAAAATCCACTTCCTGAGTCACACCACGTTTCAAGCACCCGATAAACATCTGGTGACAGCACAGAGGACACTTCATCACAGGCCACTAGTGCTGTCCTTGCAGGCAGCACCACTCCCAGTACAGCTTTAAAATAAAGACTCCTGAGGCCGGCGCTGTGGCGCAGTGGGTTAACACCCTGGCCTGAAGTGCCAGCATCCCATATGGGCGCCGGTTCTTCTCTTGGCTGCTCCCTTTCCGATGCAGCTCTCTGCTATGGCTTGGGAAAGCATTAGAAGTTGGGCCAAGTCCCTGGGCCCCTGCACCCGAATGGGAGACCCAGAGGAAGCTCCTGGCTTCTGACTTCGGACCAGCACAGATCCAGCCGTTGCAGCCATCTGGGGAGTGAACCAGCGGATGGAGGATCTCTCTCTCTGTAACTCTTTCAAATAAAATAAAATTAAAAAAAATAAAGACATCTCAGAGGCCAGTTATTGGATGCCTCATGTACCAGCGGGCTAAGCCTTCAAGTTTGCGTACAATCCAGGCAATACGCTGGGTGTGGTGGTCACCTGACCAATGGCCCTCAGCACTCACTCTCTTTCCTCATGTAGCTTTTCCGCAGTCATCTCACGAGGAGGAACCACCACACATGGCCGAGGAGCACACTGCTCTCCAGGGAATGCCCACAACCGCCCAATGCGTGCAAAATCCAGTTTTTGTTTGCAAAAGATCTCAACTACCAAAAAGCCTTCCTTGAATAAGGAAAAGGGGAGGAGGAGGTGAACATGTGCCGTGCCACACCAGCTGGGCCCCCAGTGTTCAAGCTCCCGGTCATGCGTGTGCTGGCGAACCTTCCCCAGAGGCTCACAGACGCTGCCCCCAGCCCCCTCTGCACGTGGCACACCCACCTTTGCAGATGCTGTGCTTGGTCCTATACCTGGGAGCCCACACTCGGCTGGGTGTTTCCAGGATTCAAAACCAACAGCCTTAAGGGAGACGCAGCGCTTGCTTACATTATGGAACTCATCCCACAGAGGCCTAAAAAAACCACACCTCTTTCCAGGCAATGGAACGAACACTATTAAGAATTCTGTGCACCAACAGTATAGTCCATGCATCTGCTTTCAGGGCCAACTTTGCCCAACAAGAGTTTGCAGTGATGTTGAGGGATCCAAATGGAAGGATCCTCTTTCCTTTAAAATAACTGTAGCAAAGGAATGAGCATCAGAGATGGGGGAGGATGGGACACCCGTGTGGATTCGGCATGTGGGCGATCTGCCTTTCACAGGGATGTGTCTTCATGGAGGTAGGCCAGGAGCCAGCTGCTGTCCATGACAAGTGCTAGGGCTGGTTTCCAGTGTGTTCGCTGGGCACTCCTGTGGATGAGTGTCATGACGGCATGCACAACAGTCAGCTAAGGGAAGACACGAGAAGATGAAGGTCAGCCCAGTTCCCCAAGAGGCCATGTCCAGAGCCTGGCGAGAAGACCAGACAGAACTGGGGCAGGACACGGGGGCCTGTGTGCTTTCCAGCTTCTGTTCACTCTGCAAACAGCTAAGAGCATCTACTAAGTGAGAGGAGAGATCTGGGGTGGACTAGTACCCATATAATCACCGTGGGCAGTGTGGGGACAGAGGACACAGGAAGCCACAGAACCAGGCAGTGCTATGGGTGACTGAACAAACCAGTGAGGAAGATGATTTTAATTTTTAAAATTTATTTCAGGGGCAGAGATTCAAGGACACACACACACATAGATTCGCTTTGTTGGTTCACTATCCAAATGCCAGGGAGCCAGAGCCCCAACTACTTGGATGCTTAACTGCTGCCTCCCAGGGTGTGCCCTACCAGGAAGCTGGAATCCAGAGCAGAGCTGGGACTCGAACCCAGGCACTCTGATACGGGATGTGGGTGTCCCAATCGGTGTGCTAACCACTACGCCCAATGCTTGCCTGCTTTATTTCTAAAGAACTTACCTGTCACATGGATATCACTGGGCACTAACCACGAAGCACTTAAGAGATTTGCGCCAGACACAAGAATTTCCATCATATTTTATATAAAATAGACATTTACATAAATTTTATCGTGGAAAGACCTACGTAAAGTATACAAAACCAGATGGAACGCGAGAAATACTTTATAGGAGAGACATTTCTAAATAGCCAAGTCAACCAAAGTGTACAATTATAATAAACTGATCAAAGAAATGAAAGCATTGTGAACAAAGAACATGACACAAGCTGTTTCCTCCCCAACAAAAGGAGGAGTGCATGTGAATCAGAGAACATCAAATGGTTTCCACACACATTTGAATTCCTTAGGAGGAAGTTCTGTCTTGTCTCAGTCACACAACAGGGTCACTGTCGGAATCTTTAGGTGCACAGACTACAGAATGACAGCAAACACCTCTGCCATGTTAAAGAACTTGGTGTCCCAAGGATGTGTTTCGCTGCATGATTATCTTAGAATCTTTAATAAAAGGGCAAGCTGTGAGTTCTGGCATCAGATGCACATGGCTTTTCAGCCTACATTTAGAGTAGCTGTTGACGTGGAGCTCAGTGGAGCCACTGGACTGGTCTTCTGTGGGTGAGGAATATAACAAAGACATCGGCTATTTTGCCCCAGGTGAGGTGGCTTCCCAGTAGAACTAGGACTGGTACCCAGAGGTGTTGATTCTTGGAGCAGCAAACCCCAAGGGCCACGGAGATAAACAACCCCAGGAGCTCACTGTTCACACTGGAAACTACCAAACGTGGGGCACCCGTACACCATGAGTGCCAAGGACACTGTGCAGACATCCCTGGATTTCTGTAGATAGCTGTCTCTTTCTGGCTGGGAGTGATTAGTGATCTGACCTCACAAACTGACGATGACTACGTACTCTGATGAGGGCTGATTTTTTGAGTTACCTTCCCTAAGGGTTTGCATTGAACAAATTTGTAGTGCTGAAAATGGAACATCTGAGTGTCGATCAAATGAGTGAAACTTTTAATTCTTTTCTACTACTTTGTTTGACACTAACCCATACTTTCAACTGCATGTGTTTTCCTCTTTAAGTTACATAGCTATCAAAAATATTGAAGGGAATGCATTTTTTAAATTGCTTAACCTACTTTTTGTGAGCATCCAACACTTCAGGAGTAATCATAAAATGAGCATTTCCCTATACTACCTTTTGGCACACTATGCTTTTACATTTTTCAATTGCAGCCTAAACACAGAGTTCACAGGTATTTATGTTTCCACATGTCAAAAGATGTCATCTATATAGTTAAAATTTGCTATATTTGGGAGAAATCAACACACAACCAAATCAAAGTAAATGTGATAAAACCATGACCAGCAAGCTAAAAACAAACAACCCCTAGTACTACTTGCTTTGAATGTCATTACTAACGTTTCATAATTTTTTATTCCAATGGATGGATCCAAAAGTAACAACATTTGTATTTTTTTCAAAAACTGAATCTAATAAGTAGAATTAAGAAAACTAATCCACAGAAGTTCATTTGTTGTGTGCTCAAAAGCAAGCCAGAAATGCAGCCATCAATTTGATGCCATGGACACCTTTATGAGTCAGATAAGTATGGTTTTATATACAGGGCACCGTGTCTGGTGTAAGCAAACAGCAAGGTAACTTTCTCCATCTGAGAACCAAGAATCCTGTAAATACAAGGCCAAGTTGCAGTCCTATTGCCTCAAGGGCAAAACCACCCAACCCAACCACCTGTTTGCCAATCTCAGAATGATAGCCTCAACCATACCACTGTGCCCAAAGTCACTCTTCAGGGTTACTCTTTGGCTCATTTAATAGTCAATTTCGAAAGACTATAAACAGCCGGCGCCGTGGCTCAATAGGCTAATCCTCCACCTTGCGGCGCCGGCACACCGGGTTCTAGTCCCGGTTGGGGCGCCGGATTCTGTCCCGGTTGCCCCTCTTCCAGGCCAGCTCTCTGCTATGGCCAGGGAGTGCAGTGGAGGATGGCCCAGGTGCTTGGGCCCTGCACCCCATGGGAGACCAGGAAAAGCACCTGGCTCCTGGCTCCTGCCAGGATCAGCGCGGTGCGCCGGCTGCAGCGGCGGCCATTGGAGGGTGAACCAACGGCAAAGGAAGACCTTTCTCTCTCTGTCTCTCTCTCTCTCACTGTCCACTCTGCCTGTCAAAAAAAAAAAAAAAAAAAAAAAAAAGACTATAAACATCTTTCTGGTAAAAGCCATAAACTCCCATGCAAGCTGTCAGCCCTGCACAGTTCTGCAGCATCGCTGCCTACTGGAACTGTCACCCAGACTGGCAGGTGTCTGAGATTTCGAAAGGTCCCCAGGTGGCTCTGAAGAGCAGCCAGTGCTGAGTCCCTCGCTCTGTGCCGAGGGGGACAGAGCTCAACTGTCAGCCTAATGGGCTTTTCTACTGAGGGGTCTGAAGGGTTTATAACGGAGACAGAAACCACGTGCGCTCCTTATTCTCCTAATTATGGTTGCTGAGGTCTGTTTGTAAGAGATGGTTTGCACAGGAGCATCTGCACACGCAATGCGAAACCCTGCCTCACACTAGGTAAGCACCTCCCACAAATTCCAGAATCTCCTGCTCAGGGTGGCCAAGTTCTGCAGGGAGTTGGGACTCAAGTGCTGACAGTCCTCGTAGTTCTGCTATAGGCTCAAAACACACAAACCTCAAGGGATCCATCGCAGGCGCCCCTAAAATGTCTCTCCCTCCAAGGGATTTGCATCTTTGGTTTAGTTCACCTGTTACACCACTGACTCATGGCTGTGAATTCTGTTCATCAACGGGAAACATCTGAATCACCTAAGAAATCCCGAACATAGGATTTGCAAGATTAAGAGAAGCTGCTAAAGCCATTCTCTATCAAAGGACATCAAGGGACTGTCACTCACTTGGGGCTCTGCAGCTGAGGAGAGCTGGTTTTAGGAAGCACTAGAAGACAGACTAGAAAGACAAGGTGTGCAATATGCACACGAGGAACTCTCAATGTAGCTATGACAAAATGGCAAATGCTGCTCCAACTCACAAAGGAAACGCATCCCTAAAGTGTTCAACCTAAAGCCATTCCTCTCTTCCCTGCTCATCTTCTTTTCAACCTGGACCTGCTATCTAATTCCAGGAACCAGTGCATAATTACATCGCAAGACTCCTTCTTCCAAAATTACCAAGAATTTCAAGTACAGCGTTCAACCGAGTGTGGGATGCCTCTGAGTACAGAGACTTTGGGACAGCACAGACTGCATATCCAAGAGGCGTGCACTACTCCTCCATTCCAGAAAGCTCTATCAATTCATATGCCAACCATGCTCCTATGGACACCCCTCCAAGAGCAGCCAGGGCACTCCCTTGGTGTTTTGACTGAGGGTGCATTACACTTATTATTTCATGTTAAAAGAACCAAACACAAAGTTACAAAATAGACTTAATATCTTCAACAAATACTATGTGGTTCTTTTTCTTTTAGGCAGCTTTTTAACTGTGGAAACTTTCACTGGCCACATTTCAGTGAAGAATAAAAATATCTGATCCAATAAGCACCGCTTAATTTTTGTAAACAGTGCCTACTGTTGAAGGTCAAAAACATGCCTGTGTCTGCAGACAGATGGCACAGAGGAAGATGGAAGGAGATGGGCAGACAGAAGGAGAACAAGAGTGACACAGAGAGAGAACCACACCTGCCAGGAAGCAGTCTCCTCACGGCCATGGCACACTCTTTAACTGGGGAGTGCAGAAAATCAGATTTTGGATAAATTTATGATATACAAGTGCACTTCAAAAACTTTGTGGAAAATGGAGTTGAAAAACAAAACTTATAATCCATGCACATGAAGAATCTTCAACGAGTTAAAAGGAAATATGTATATGAAAAATTTGTATGTATTCCACAATTTTTTATATCAAAATAAACTTCCCTTTTAATTTCATTTTCTGCAAACTTTCTGGAGTCCCTTTGCATAACACAGTAAGATGATTACAAACAGAAAGAGTGGCAGCTCTATGTTATTGGATGTCTTAGGTACACAAACATATGCAAGCTAATTCCAACTGTGAAGCTGTGAATTAAAATATCTGCCCCCTTGTTCCTTCCCAAAGAAGTTTCTCCTCTTCTTTAGACTTCCAAACCAAACCAAACCAAACCAAACCGAATCAATCCCATACAGGGGCGGTGCTTTTGGTGTTGGTATGAAGGAAGCAGGAGGCCTCTATCCCGCTCTGATGAAAGCAGGTTAAAACACGTGCGCCTCAGCCACTCCACCTGTGTGGCACCTGCCTCAGCACTGGACCAACGCTGCTTGCCACACTTTCATTTTGGCTTTTAATGATGGCAATCGAATTAGAATCAGGTGTTCCGATTTCTTCACTTTCACTTTGAAAACATACCACCCTAACACTGGAGACTGGTCCCCAATTTCTTACACTTCAGCATGTAAATCAAGAGAAAATGTTTGAGGCGCTGTTGAAGCTTCACTATTCTGTAAATCCCCACTGAGATTTTTAAAGGGTCACTTTTCAAAGATGCTACTAAAACCAGTATATACAGAGCAACAAGAAGCATGTGCATATATTAAATGTCATAAGTTATGAAATAAATAACACTAAAAATAAATGTGAATTCAATTTTGCCATCCCTAGCTTTAAAAATAAGCATATATAGTATTTATGTCATCGGATTTTGACCTTTTTTCCCTAGATTTTTTTGGAGACTTCTTCATGAAATTCCCAAAAATACAAATACACAGCAAAGAACTCCTGGAGGCAGTCATTCACGTTTTAAGCACGGAATTCTCATTAAGCCCAGGAAGACAAACAGCTCAGCCCCCATCCATGAAGACTTCCGTTATCCACGGTAAAGATTCCCCAACGGTTACATACACTTTTCAAAAAAAAATACATCTCATGATGTCTGAACATTTAGATAATAAATTCTGACATTTTTTCAGTTAATACCTTTAATTTCTTTAAATATAGAATATACTATTTCTTTTTCTTCACCAAAATAACAATATATTTGAAGACAGGAACATAGAAGACTTTAAATGCACTTTTGAGATCTGAGAGTAGGATCACTACTCTGGTAATACTTGTAATAAAATTAGGATAATTTTAAAACATTTCCACCAACAGTTAGGGTGCCAGCTCCTTGATTTTTCCACTAGGGATAAAGATATTCACATAGGACTGGCAAAGCTCCCCATCTGCTGTATTAAGCTACGGAAAACATTTAAAATAGAATTTAATTTCCTCCTCCGAAGGATTCCAGCAATATCCTTAGTAGGATATTAGATAAAGCTCAATTACCAGTAGCTTCCTTGCCTACATATTCTGGAAGGTTCTGCCAAAGCTATTAGATTCTCATTCCTGGTTGCAGAGACTCACATGAGCCGCCTCTGGGGGCACTTCCCAGACAGCTTACCCGGGAGATGTTTCCTCTCTGAAATACCTCATCCTACAAACACCAGACTTCTGCTTTCACTGCCCTTCAGGCTTCTGGGTTTCTAGGACGTGAGAGTCTACACTAAGAAACGGAACTGGATTTCCAGGTTGCAGAAACACAGAATCCATCAGGGAAATCTGGAGGGAAAGCAAGCAAAGCTCTGTCATCAATCCCGCTGTGGCTTCCTCCACTGGGGGCCTTCTAGCTCTGGCTGGCTCCTTCCTTCTTCTCTCCTGGAAATGTACTTCCGTCCGCACACGATCCCCAGCAGGCGTCCCCAGAGGGGCTGAGCCCTGCTGCTATGAGAGCCAAGTCTTGCCAGGTTTTCCGGGAGAGGCACCAGCACCACCCCGGGAGCCGGGTCTAAGGCTGCTACGTTTGCTCCTTTTCTCGAACCTCCTGCAATCGTTTTTCTAGACGGTCCAACTTGGCCAGATTCTCTTTCAGCAGCTTGCTGTCTGGAACCAGCTGCAGGGCTCTCTCATAATAAGCTCGTGCGGACACATAACTTCCCTGTGGGGAGAAGGAGAAAGAACACTTAGATCTCTCAGGGCAAGGGCAGCCGAAGAAACCCACTCTCTGCCCCTGCGATTAGCAGGAAGCCCTGCCTCCATGTCTCCAGGGGTGAGCTCATCCTAGCTCCTTGGCATTTGTGTTAAAGACTCTGAGCAGCTGCAGAAGAAAGCACGTGACACTGGACAAGGAAATGGCAGGAATTCCATGCAGGGCATGAGGCTAATCACGCCATGTTCTCAAGGGCTTAGCATGGTTCCTTTGTCATCACATGTGACTGCAGCCAGACACTCTTGTCATTAGCACAGAGAGACTGCAGGAGGGAAAGGAAGTCAATAGACAGACACTCATAGAGGAGGGAGAGGGGAGGGAGGAGAGAAGTGTTTGATTAATTTAGGTAATCCTTTTTATCTGTCCACCAGTGCTGTGAGTTAATCTAAACTTAAAATATTACAGCAGCTTTTGCCTACAATAGATTTACACAGTGAAGACAACTGCTAAGAATACGAAGTCAAACGTGGCCATCCATGTCTACTAGCCGGGTACTCTCTGCATAGGAGGGAAGGTGCATGATCCCTAACCCATCACACACACCTGTCCCCACCCTCTGTAGCCTCATCCACTTTGATGAATGACTCCTAACAATAACCACGCGTGCCTGGTCCCAGGCAAATCAGTGACAACTATCAGCTTCCTCCAGTACTTTTCCTGCTACATTAAGTACTACACTTCCCTTCTTTGTTCCAATCTCTTTCAGCTCTGTGTCCTACAGAGATTGTTAGAGTTTTCCCCTTTCCAAAAATAGGAACTTGTTCTGCCTGAATCTTAGTTACACCATCCAGGGCAATTAAATCTCTACTTCTTGGAGTACCAGTACCAACCAGAAATTAGCAACTAATATTTACTGAATGCATAACTCTCTTCCAAAGGAGTTAACATTTGTCAACAGCTCTGACACTCCCTGGCACACAGGGAGGGCTCAAGAGAATACTAACCCAACTATTAAAGCAAAGACACACCCAGGCTATTCAAAACATTACTGGTGAAAGGGGGAGTGGAAATGATTGAAGAAGAAATTGTACACCGGATCCCAGGTGCTGACATGTCCAATGAAGGAAAGGCCTCCCGATTATTATTATCACAGATTCTGCTAACAGTCTACACAGCTCTCTGAACAAGGGGGAACTTGGGTTTGGTACTCTGAATTCTTTTGTTTTCAACTGAAGCCTTCATCTTCCAAGTCTCCTGCTTTGATTGAACTTGGCACATGCATGCCGACAGCTGTGCACCTGGGGCTTTCGCTGGGCGCTCTGCTGTAGTTGATGCTGAACTTGTTCTTGCAGGGGCGACTCTGAATTTAGGGTTCAGCTTGCTGCCCTGCCGTCTTTCCCTCGGATCTCACGATTTCTCTGTCCTTTCCCAGAATATTCAGTTCATTTTCTCACTCTCCATTCATTCTTTGCCTGATTAAACCAGAAACTTTAGTTTCCTAAAAAAAGTTATGCTCCTATCCCTTTAGGGCAATGTTGCGAATTCCCCACATGCTAGGTAGCCTATTTGATTTATCCAGTTTCCAGCACTGTGCTAACGGGAGCCACCAGCCACGCATGGTTAGTTAAATCTAAATCTGTTAGAGTTCATTAAGAATTCAGTTCCTCAGTGCAGGAGCCACATTTCAAGAGCTCACACGCAGCTAGTGTCTAATGCAGATACAGAAATGCCATGATCTCAGAAAGTTCTACTAGAAAGTGAGACTGTCGAAACTGCCCATCACTGTCAGAGCACAAAATTGCAGATGATACCCTGTGATATGGCCTGGTTATCGGACCTCTTTGACGACAAAGAATGCATTACAGCTTTTTAGACCACCCATCCCATCTCATCTCATCTCAAGCTTCATCAGACGTACTCCACGGGCAGGCCTTTGGCCTGGGCGCCATTCTGGAGCAGCTAGGCAGGAGTCTTGGCTCTGCTCCTGCTCCTTGCTGACGTGCACCCTGGGAGACAGTGGGGATGGCTCCCATATGGGAGACCTGCACTGGGTTCTCCACCATGGGTCTGGTCTAACCCCGTCCCAGCATTTGGGGAGTGAACCAACAGACAAGAACTCTACATTTTTGTCTCTCAAGTGAACAAATGAAAAAATTTGAGTATTAGAAGTTGAGCAACCCTAATCCAAAATCCAAAATGCTCTAAAATCTAAAAAAGCCAATCAATTTTAAAAGATTTATTTATTTGAAAGTCAGAGTTACAGACAAGAGGGAGAGATACACAGAGAGAGGTCTTCCATCTGCTGGTTCACTCCCCAGATGACCCAAATGGCTGCAGACGAGTCAGGATGGAGGCAGGAGCCAGGAGCGAGCCACCTGAATTGAAAATTTAGCCCTTACTCCTTGGTACCCTAATTTCCTTCCACTCTTTTTTTCCCTCTAAAGCACTTACCACCATCTGACATGTTCCATGTATGTATGCACGTATGTATGTATGATGTGTGCTGTGTGTATTTAGCACCTGCCTCCCACTAGTCAAGCGTTAGCTCCATGAGCACAGGGATGTTGGTCTTGTCTGCTCACTGCTGCAGCCCCAGGGCCGCGGAGGGTATCGGGCACACAGGCTGCTCCCCATCAGTGACTGATAAATGAATTAAAGGATGGATGCCGAGTCTTCGGGTGCGCTGGTTATACAGGCTAGTCCCACCAACGGCCATCGAGAATCCTCAGGCAGATATACCCAGAGGGAGCTTTTTACTTTAGATAAAAAGGTCCAACCATGCTTTGCTTTTCAGTAAAATGTTAGGGAACAAAGAAACAAAAAAGTAATGCAGGCTTCCCAACATATCCAGAGGTTCCGCACCCATGGAGTCCACCAAGCATGGACCAAAACCAAACTGAACCTGGCCTGGGCAAGACAGAGATTTCTTCTCATTATTCATTACAAAATACTGTCTATACAGTACAGTGTAATAACTACGTCCATAGCACGTACACTGTATTAGCTGTTAGGAGGAATCCACAAATGATCTAAAGTCTATGAGAGGATTCCACTGGTCATATGCAAATAACTATGCCAGCTTACACAGCGGGCTTGGGCATCTACAGAGTTTGTATGGATACCGAGGTACAATTAAAGTAAATGAAAATGCTAACACACTGAAATTTTAAATGGAGAGTAACATTTTAAAGTAATAGAAGTGACATTTTAGTTTAGTGACATTTGCAGTTTAGTTGAACTGTAAGAAAAATAAGTCACTCCAAGTTCCAGCAAGGATTTAGTACACATGAACATATTCTGTCTGATATTCTCTTAACTACATGTGATTTTGTTTATGATTAATAAAATCATGGATTCTAATTTATATGGAATTCATTTATTTATTTTAAAAATTTATTTGGGAAGCACATGCACAATGAGGAGGGACAGAAAGAAAGAGAGAGAGAGGGAGGGAGGGAGGGAGAGAGAGACTTCAAGGCAGAGAAAACTCACTGTCTGGTTCACTCCCAAAACACCCTCACTGGCTGGGGCAGGGCTGAGCTAGGGCTGAAGTCAGGATCTGGAACTCGACCTGGGTCTCCCAGGCAGGTGACAAGAACCTGGGGTCTGTCTTAGCAGGAAACTCGGGTCTGCACCTGCAACCAGGAAGCTCTCCGGTATCCGATGTGAGATGTGTGCTTCTTCCACGGGAGGCTAACTGCCCACCCCTCAAGTATTCGTGAATGCTTCATGATATTCAATAACGAGAGAACATAAGGTGACCAGAACCTGTGCTAACCGCACCTTTAAACATCTCTGTGGCATTCAACTGATTCCAAAGAGAAGCACAGGCGTCCAGTCCTTGGAGAAAGGAGGAGGAGGAACCCCCAGGAGAACCCCTCCCCGGGGGGCGCACAGGTGTCCTACCTGGATGTGCTGGATGCCCCCCATGTTCATCCACGCCTGCGCCTGATCCGGGTTCAGCTCCACGGCTGCCTTATAGCTCTAAATCAGGAAGAGACAGCTCCAGGTTAGGAAGTGCGCGGTCCCTGGATGGCAGACGCTGCTTCTCTGCTCTGGGATGATGCAAATATTCATCACAGTGAAACCAGCCGCTCCCAGTTTCCGGCACACTCCTGGTTTATCTCCGTTGTTTACCAAAGGTGGGGATTCTGAAACGGTAGGACTTCCCTGCAGAGCTAAGCTGGGGACTGGAAGAGCCTCTGAACGCCTGCAGGGCTGCCAAGCGCCTGCTGTCACACAGCTCCATTTTCCACTGGCCTTGCCCTACCAGACATTCGTGCTTTCTGCAGGTGCTAAGAAAAAAATTTCTCTAATAACAGAATCTTAAGGTGGCTTTCAAAATGGCTTAACTGCACTACAGCACCCCCCACACCCTACAGCACCACTGACCTGAAAACTCAGCCTTCGCTTAACTTGTTGAACAGGCTGCTCGACTCTTCTCCCAGGACATCTATTTCACTATGTTTTACTGGGGGAGAACTGCAACCCTTACAAAGTCTTCCTTCTTCTTCTGTCACAGGCAGGGCTTTCAAATGTTTAAGAGTTCCCCATCTCTCAGGTATCATCTTCTGTCTCGGTAACATGTATCCTAGTAACTGTGATGTCCGTGACGTCTATTTTTAATATTCTACACGGTGCTTTGCATCAAAGTTATGCCCGCCCTTAAGACTTCATTTTAAAAACGGCCACCAGAAATGAAGTCCAGGGCTACCAGGGTTGCCTTTAGTGACAAAGCTAAGGATCAGCACACATAGTTTAATGTTCCTTGCTACTTTGATTAGCAAGGCTATAAGCAAACAGATCCACCAAGTAAAATCTGGTCCATTTGCCTTTAAGATTTAGAGAATAGAAGCAAATGGTAAGAAACCAAACTTAAAAAAAAAAATGCTTAAATAAACTTGAAGGTGCCTTTCTTGGATTGCTCTCTATCAACAGAGAGGGCCAAACAGTATAGACGTTAAGAGCTACCGTCAAGTCCTGGCTCCGTCTCTGAAGGTCAGAATGACCTTGAGCGGGATTCACAACCTCTGAGCCTCAGAGGACAGAAGTATAAAGTGATGACAGAGCCCACGCCCTTCTCGAGTGATGTGAGTATCACACGGGCTACTTCATTCATTCACTCACACACAGGAGCGCTAAATCACTTCAGCGGCTCTGAACAGCCGGTGGCCCGACTGCTGCTCTTCCTAAATCCAGCAATGATTATTAGCAATGATTATTTCATCCCCGGCCAAGCAACTAGAAAATGCTGTCAATACAAGGCATTAACATACAGAGAGCTACAGATATCATATTCACGGTTTGATTATTAATAATAACTTTGAAGTCACATAACAAAAATGTAGGTGGAGGTCATGTTCACCGTGCAGAGACAAGCCCACACGTGCTGAGATAAATGCTCACGGCTTCTCACAGCAAATGCTACCACGTCTGTTTCTGTTGGAACTACTACGTCTGCTTCTACCCTGAAGTGAGTTTCTCCAAATACTCAGGTGAGCTTTCTTCAAGCGGGCTTTCCAACATTACTCGTTCCTGTTTCCTCTTCAGCACAATTCTATCACTTGAGAGTTTAGTTTTCCCACATGTAATTAAATATCATTTTAGAACTTGGTAAATTCCGGTTGGTGCTATTATCAGCTAAAGGATAAAATACAGCCTTTCTGTAATATTTCTACACATGCTTGCACATGCCTGCATGATTTCAAACTGCTTATAGCTTTTTTTTTTTTTTTTGAAAGCTGAGGATATTGAACAACTGTAAGGTGCAAGACACTGTTTTAAACCAGAGTAAAAGCCCAAGGCAGGAAGGCAGATCCTGCAGAGTGGGGAGAGGAGCAGAAGGGATTGACGGGGAGGGTGGCGACCCAGCGATATGACACAGGACATCTTCCTATGACTGCAGCCACAGGGAGACAGCATGTGCTTCCAGAATCCCAAAGAATGAGGGACCTTTGGAGCAAGTGTAGTCAGGAGGGCTTCCTGGGGGAGGAGACAAAGACTGAGCAGGGGCGAGTGAGAAGCTGCTCAAGCGGGAAGGTTCCAGCACCTGCGCAAACTCCCCAGACCAGCCCTGCTGCCATTACGGGGTCCTGCAGGCAGGCAGGGACAAAGAGAGAGGGCAAAGCTAGTCTCAGACCAAACTGCGCATGCTCTGAACATCAGGTGGGATGTGGTGGTGTGGGAGATCACGCAGAGGTCAAAAGCCACAGGAAGCAGAACCGTCCAACGGTAAGCCAGGCCATCAGAACATCAACTCCACACACGTGCCAAGCTCGTCCCCTCCTTGGCAACGGATGCAACTTAATGGCATACTTGGCTTTTTTTTTTTTTTTTTTTTTTTTTTTACCTCGAAAGCTTTGTCCAGAAGGTTCTGCTCTCGCAGCTGGTTTCCCTTGGTGAAGAACAGCTCGGAGACGACGTGGGGGTCCTTTGGTTTCAGCTGCAGCGCCCTGTCTATGGCGTCCAGGGCCTGTGGAGAGGGGACAGCCGCATGGCACAGGTGCAGGTGAGCGAGGCAATGACTGTGCCCTTTGTGTATGAGCGCGTGGGCCGCGTGCTGATCAAGGCACCTGCTATTCCGTCTGCTGCGGTCTGACGATCAGCGCTCCTCACAAGCTCACAGCCCTGGGCCCCGGCCTTGCCAATTACAGAGCGGCGACAAGAGGTGGTCCCCACACACCTTTCAGGGCACCTGTCTCCCTGGACCATTCCAACTGCCTCCTCTGGGGTTCCCACAGCTGCCCTGTGTAGCCACACACAGTCTCGAAGCACGAATCTGATCAGCCCCTCTTAAAACCCCATGTCTTCTCCCGAGAGAAGAAAGAAAACCCTTGGCTTGGCCCCAAGTCCTGCGGGGCCCCATCCCACAGGTGTGTATCACAATGCCCTCCTGTCCCTCAGATAGGTCTCTCCCTGCTGCCACAGGGCCACTCCCCGCCTCCTGCCAACCAGAGACTGGCACATGGCAGATAAGTTCGTGAACCTACAAACCAAGTGACTCTCACCAACGGTCAGCAGGTGCCGACTGTGCCCCGGAGCAGCCTTGTAGGCATGGTACGAGAAGTCCTTGGGACGATACAAGGATGCTTCAAGAAGTTCAAAATTACAAGATAAGAAACTCAGTGCCAAACCATTCCTGAGATGCACGCCTACCTGTATTTCACAATACTTATTTCCCAGGAGAGATCTGGAGACCCCTTGTAAATGAGAAAGGAACACTGCTGTTTGCACGGCTGGCTGAAAACAAGCTGATGGATACCACACAGTCTTGGGAGCAAGCACAGGCCAGCTGTGCACTATGACAAGGCAGAACCTTAGCAGTGCAGATGCTACCTGGGAAAAGCTCCCATCAGACAGGATATGGGACCCAATGACCGTCCCGACATCCCGACCTCGAAGGGTGCCAACAAGAGAGTGGCTTCAGTACCTCCTACTTCCCACTCGAGAACCCCATCAAGCCCACCAGGGCCCCTGTCCCCACCTTGGCGTGGTGCTCCTGCTTGCTGTAGATGGCCGACAAGAGGCGGTAGCATTCCAGGCACCCACTATCCTCTTCCACAATGTGCATGGTCATCCTTTCGGCTTCTCTCATCTGACCCATCACGGCCAAAACCTGGGCCTGCAAAAACCACACGGCACGGACTTGGGTTTGGCAGAGAGCTAGACACGGCCTCACCCAACCATCCCCTCGCCTGGGAGTGCTCAGTAGATGCTCCCGGCGAGAGTGCTCAGGTCTGCTCAGAGGCTCACGGAAGACGCTGTGTTACGCTGGTTCACGGGTTTTAATTTTCCACTGGCTGCGTCTTTACTGAGGGATATGCGTGCCTCTGTGTGCAGACGGCGGGGACAACAGACGCTCAGGGAAGTGGCTGTGCCTTGAACAAAAGCTTCACTCAGCATCTCAGAAGACAGGTAACTGCTGTGCTGTCGGCAGAGCCTCGAGATTGCAAGTCTGATTTGTTGTTCATCTCGGGAAAAGGAAGAGCAGAGACCCAAACACTGAGATGCTGTGTCGGGGGCTGGCGCTGTGGCGCAGCAGGTAAAACCACCAATGCCTGCAGTGCCGGCATCCCATATGGGAGCCGGTTCAAGTCCCAGCTGCTCCACTTCTGATCCAGCTCCCTGCTAATGGCCTGGGAAAGCAGCGGAAGATGGTCCAAGTGCTTGGGCCCCTGCACCTGCATGGGAGACCTGGAAAAAAAGGCTTCTGGATTCTGGCTTTGGTGTGGCCCAGTCCCAGCCATTGCAGCCACTTGGGAGTGGATCAGCAGATGGAAGACATCTCTCTCTCTGTCTCTGTCTCTTCAATCTTTCAAATAAATAAATAAATTGATTAAAAAATATTGTTGGTGGTGCTATGAATCTTCCTGAATTTGTAAACTGCATTGCACTGATGCTAGAAATGTCCTCACTCTTAAGAACGACAGGGGACTTGAGTAAGTTCACAGAAAATTGAGTTGAAAATGGACTGTGGTACAAAAGCACAAAAAAATCCACACCCAGTCTTTTCATAATACATGTTTTCTAGGAAATTTAAAAAAAAGTATTTATTTATTTATTTGTTTGAAAGTCAGAGTTAACAGAGAGGGAGGGAGAGACACAGAGAGACCTTCCATCTGCTGGGTCACTCCTCCAAAGAGCCACAACAGAAAGTGCTGGGCCAGGCCAGGAGCTATCAGGAACCCGGGCAGTGGAGGCGGTGTCTGCTGGCTTCCAGGATGCATTAGCAGCAAGCTGGAGCCGGAGGGAGCAGACGGGACCTGAACCAGCGCTCGCACACGGGACGCGGCCACCCCAAGCCACAGCTTACCCTGCTGCGCCACAACGCTGCCCCGTGTGAGCTCCTTAAGTCCCTCTCAAATGCATGGATCTTAAAACACTTCAGTACTAAAGGACACTTAAGGATTCCATTTCCACAAACTTTTTAGAGTATTCTCATATGTGCGCAAGTATTTAGAAAAAAGAGGGGCATCAGACCTTTAACTACCTCTTATGGTTCAGAAAAAAATGACATGTACTAACAACAGCCATATGTAAAAATACTAATGTAAGTATGCATGTATACATGTATACATACAAGGGGCAGTGATAAACAAACACATCAAAATGGTAAACATTGTCTAACTAGGCTAACAGGGTACATGGAAGTTGTTTACTCTTCTTGCAACTTTTTTCTGAGTCTGAATCAATTTCCCAACAAAGGGTTTCGCGCATCGCTGGTGTGTATGTCTTCGGTGAATGCATCGGACTTTGGCCACATTCATATTCAAGCAGCGGGTGCTGTAGCAGCACTCCTGCACCAAGGCCAAGACCTGGACAACAGCCCCCGACCCTGCACGCCGTGCTACCATTTCTAGCGCCTGCTCCCTCGCCCCTGAACTCACCAGCGCCAGGCGGAGCTCCCTCTGAGAAGGCTGAAGGGCTGCAGCTTCCCGGTACACCTGCAACGCCTCCTCATATCGGCCGGTGTTGTAATAGAGCGCGCCCAAAGGGGACAGTATCTCGGCTCGGCGTGCCACCTGCAGGGCGCTGCGTGGGGAGAAAGGTGAGTTGACACTTCTCTTCCAACAGGTGCATTTCCATGGGTCTATGCTTCGATGTGACAGGATAGCCCATGGTTTGAGTCCCCACTGTAGCATAGCGCTTGTTTTTATATCAAGAACAAAGTTTTAACCACAGATCAGGTGCAACCACGCCACACGGGACCATGTCCAATGTCCCAGGGATAAGGTGGCTGAGCCTCAACTGTTTCTATTCACAGTGACAAACAGCCTTATCCTGAGACTTTCATCCATCCTGGATTTGAAATTACTACCTGTGGTGTGGGTTGCTGTCCGCAGTGTCCCCAGACAAGGGGACAACTTAAGTGGCCACTAAACTCCAACCTTGGCTTAGCAGCCTGCTCCAACCAGTCAGGAAGGGGGGAAGATGTCCCTAATTGACAAAATAACCTGCACCATCGTGGGGCGCTCCCTGGGGAGCAGAACCTGAACCCCCTCATCTGGTGAACTTCACTAGCATCCTGCAAAAGCACGAATGCCACAATACCTGCCGAGCAGCTGAGGGAGTGAAGGGAGGAGCTGTACCGTTTGTACCAGTCTTCCGCCGCGCCGTTCTCTCCGAGTGACCTGTACAGCCGGCCCAGGTTCACCATGGCCACGTGATGACTCGGGCTCAGTTTGATCGCCTCCCGGTAATGGGCCACGGCCTTCTCTGGAGAACCTGAGACCATAGGCGGGTTGGTGAGAACACAGCAAGCCTTGGAAAATCCCTGACCTCTTGAATTCTCCCTGACTTCTATCGTTCATCCCATTACAGCTGCCACGCCTTCAATTTTCAGTTAATAAATAAGGTTGCATTTTGGCTTCACTTCTTTGCTGCGACACTGTCTAACCTTGGACCATTTTGCTATTCATTTACGCTTCCAAAGAACCTAACAATAATGCAGCATAATAACTAAATAAGAATAAGAATAAAGCACAGTTCTCTTATTGTATTTGCTATTCCCTCCAAGTAATTTCTGGTGATTGCCCTGGTTAATACGATGTCCTGGGATCACCAGTGATTGCTAGTTCTCAAAGACAAAGCTGTCCCTCATTAAACAAAGGCACAGCCGGAAAGAAAACGGATCCGACGCAAGTTCCAAGGGTCTGTGACAGTTACCGCAGAGTAGCACAGTCAGCGAGACACTGCTTTCTGCAAGTCTGCATCAGCTGGATGTTGGAGGCACACCTTAAAGTCACATGTTTTGGGGGCTGGTGTTGTGACTCTGGCCTGTGACACTGGTATCCCTTATCAGCACTGGCTCCAGTCCCAGCTTCTCTGCCTACGATCTGCCTCCCTGCTAATGTGTCTGGGGAAGTAGCTGAGGACAGCTGATGGACCTAGGCCCCTGACACCCATGGGAGAGACCTGAGTGGACTTCTAGCTCCTGGCTTCAGCTTGGCTCAGCCACAGCTGTTCCAGCCATTTGGGGAGTGAATGAGCAGATGAAAGATCTCTCTCTCTCTCTCTTTGTATCTCCTCCTCTCTCTTTAACTCTATCTTTCAAGTAAATAAATAACTCTTTAAAAAATAAAATCATGGTTGGCATTGTGGCAGAGCAGGTAAAGCCTATGACACTGGCAATCCATATGGGCTCCGGTTCCTGTCCTGGCTGCTCCACTTCCAATCGACCTTCCTGCTAATGACCTGGGAAAAGCAGAAGATGGCCCAACTACTTGGGCCCCTGCCATCTACTTGGGAAACCTGGATGAAGCTCCTGGCTCCTGGATTAAGGCTCTCCAGCCCAGGGTGGAGAGTGGACCAGCAGATGGAACATTTCTTTCAGTCTCTCCCTCCCTCTTTACCTCTTTTGAAATAAACAAACAAAATTTCTTTAAAGATAAAAATGAAATTAACATTTTTTGCTTATATGGCATTTGTTTCTTAAAACAACATCACGCCACCTTGCATTTGTACAATGCATTCTACATTTTTAAATACTTTGTAAATAGTTATATGATCTTTGCAGGTGTCTTTTGGTATACCATTCAGCTATTACACAAAATGATCACCTCGTAGACACACATTACAAAGCACAAAAACAGGAAGAGACTTGACGATGTCCAGGGTCACTGAGAGTTAGGGGACAGTCTCTCTGGTCGGATAAAGTTCCTCGCGGATGCTCCTGCCCGGAAGCACACGGAGGTGATGGAAGTTCCATGTGAAGTTCCACATGGAATGAAATGTTTATCACCCGGCCAGGAGTCTTCTCCCTCCCTTGCAACTTCTTTGAACACAAATTTGACCAAGATGCTGTCAGAGTCCGGCCGTCAAATTGTTACCATTTTCAAGGATATGGGATGAGACTACTGATTGCAAAACCAAAAGGAAGAGGCTCAGACCAGGCCAGCACCAAGTCTCCTCGGGTTTTCCTCTCTCTGGGATATTTAACTTACTATACGGCTAATGGACCAGCAGGTGGCGCTACACAACAATTTTACACCCAAAAGTAAATTCCTATTCTACAAAGCAGTAGAGCTTCAACTACCGTAGAAAATAAAAGCCCTCCCGTGCATTTCACATTGAACAAAAATAACTGAAACTGAGTGTTACTGCACAGCAGTTACTCTGGTCATCAACAAGAAAGTGAGCCACTTCTGTGTTAAACTGAAATAATGTTCAGTTACTTATCAGTTTCATGACACAGCCACGGTCCACACCCTAAAGAAACTGAGCCCCTGCACGGACACGATGACGTGAGGGTAATCTGCAGGGCACCTGTCATGTGAGAACACTGCAGGAGTGGCCAAGGCAGATTCTGTGAGGCAGGAGGGGGAAGGAACGAAGCAGCACTCCCGGAAGCTTTGTGAAAACACAGCGAGGGGAAGTTTTAGCACCTGCGGGGGACTAGATTCAGGGGCAGGCCGTGCGTCACTGCAGAGGAACCCCGGGTCATCAGAGGTGTGTACACCTGCACAAACGATTGTCGAAGAGGACTGGGACGCGTTACATCATCAGGTCTACCTCCTATCACCTGGGAGCTTTCCTTAGCGTCTTGATCGCAAGAGCCGGGCAGCTGGGACTGAACCCCGCCTGCAGACTGGGACAAACAACAGCCCCCAGGTGCACGGTGGTGGGCGGCAGGGTGAGCCTCGCTTCTGGAGGATGACCCGATGGCTGCCATCTCCTTGACACCCATGCCGTCCGATCCCCCGGGACACGCTCCTTCTGACGTCACGTACCAGAATCCACTAAGAACACCCCGTAGTTGTTGTGTAAGTCGGAGCTGTCCGGGCAGTTCTTGATTCCAGCCTGGTAGATCTCCTCCGCTTCCTGAAACCTCTCCTTCCAAAGACAACAAAGAAACACGGATGAGACGGTTTCTCCAAAGCAACGAGAGGCTGACTACCGGGGGCTGGGCAAGCAGGAGGGGTTCGCTGAGCACCTGCCGTGCCACGGCAGGGCAACACCACACTCGGTGCGTGGCCTGCTGTCAGGCAGCAGCCACGGTGGCCAAACACCCACAGGGCTCATCTGCGTGGAGTCCCTCCAGGGCACATGGGTGGGGTTCGCTCAGGTGGGGTTTCTGCAAGGATCTGGACCGAAACTTGCAACAAGCCCAAACATCCCTCGGAGAAGGAGGTGTGCATCCAGGAATTCTCTGGATACGCATGGCCATGCATTCCCAGGGGAAGGGTTCCAGAGGCAGGAAGGGGGCTACAGGGGCAGGGAGGCCTGGGGATTTGTTTGCATACACAGCGCCCTCTCTGCCTACACTGGAGGGTGTGACAGGAGAGGCTTTGCAGGGATATAGGAGGGCAGCAGTGAGGAAGCCCGTGAAGAGCACCTGCCTTACCTGGTCCTCGCTGGCCATCTGCCCACTGCCCTCCACCTGCTCACCATCAGTGCTCTCCGTCCCCAGCTGTTCCCCTGCAGCAGGACCCCATGTCCCCCTGGAAGGCACACCTCCACCCCAGGGGCTGGGCCCACATCTGCTGCACTTCTCCAAGCAAGGAAATTTCACCTGTGCTCACGAGCTGCTCCCCTGACCGCTCATACAGCAACCAAGCGCTGCCACCTCCCGCCCTCCCGCCCTCACGGCACAGTCTGCTTTACCATTTGCAAGGTGACGAGTCTACGTAACTCATCAAGGTGACTCGCGTTCTAAGAATTACCCCAAGCCAGCCCCGCCGTCACTCGCAGTGCTGTGAGGGCTGGCGGGCAGGATGCCCTACAAAGCACTGATGCACGCTGAGAGCCTCAGAATACGGCATTTTCCAAAACTGGATCGCAAGGGTCTACGGCTGAGCATCCCAACACAGCACAAGGGGAGGGAGAGCGACAGGTTTCACAGAGTCCACACCTCCAGGCTGTGAATAAAAATGCGTTTGATTTCCACCAGGCGCTGAGCAATGAGCCAAGCAGCCGACGTCTGATTCAACTCCAAAAGGCAACAGATCCACACCCTCCAGGCCACCTGTTTGAATTCACACATCCAGCTTAGGAAGCAGAGAGAGACTTGAATTTTCCAAGTGTCACTTATCTGAACGACAAATCCACAGCAAAACCTGGGAGTTGACATTGCTAACACTATTTTTTTTTTTGAGATAATATATTTTTCATTCACATCATAGTCAAAGCCTTACCGCTCCACCCAATAAAGAATTCGACAAATACAAAGACCACAGTTCAGCAGGAATACAGACAAGGGCTATAAACAATAATCAAGCGAAAAGATGTTCAAATGCACTCATAAATTTTTAAATACTGGGGCCGGCGCTGTGGTGCAGTGGGTTAACACCCTGGCCTGCAGCACCGGCATCCTATATGGGCGCCGGTTCGCTGCTCCATTTCTGATCCAGCTCTCTGCTATGGCCTGGGAAAGCAGAAGATGGTCCAAGTCCTTGGGCCCCCGCATCCACATGGACCAGAAGAAGCTCCTGGCTCCTGGCTTTGGATCGGCGCAGCTCTGGCCGTTGCGGCCAACTGGGGAGTGAACCAGTGGATGGAAGACCTCTCTCTCTCTCTCTGCCTCTCCTCTCCCTGTGTAACTCTGACTTTCAAACACATAAATAAATCTTAAAAAATTTTAAATACTCACAAAATCATTAGGTGTGTACTAGTTTTGCTACAAATATCTAACAATATGCTTTTTAACTGCCAAACTCAACAAACTGTGAAACTCTACAAGAAAGGTTAAGTGAAAATCTCAAACTTTTCCCTTTTAAACTATGGTAGAAAAGCTTAATTAAGATGTTACCCACAAAAGGACTGACAACTTTGTGTGTGTGTATGTGTGTGTTAAATGCATACCAGCACATCCCATGAAAATCCAACCAAACTGATATTTGGAATGTGCCCCTGGATGTGTGCTCACGAATGCATTCCTTAAGCCCAGGTCACCTGCTGCTGCTGCAGGAGTCAGGAAGCACGGTTAGGTGCTGGGCTCCTGCCCTTGGCTACACCAGACTAGAACCCTGGGCCTACTGTTCCTATCTCTGTGACCTCACTTCTGCTCTTGGGCGCCCCTAGTGGAGAAAAGGGATCACAGCGCACCAGTCTCCTAGGGTCCCGGTGAGGGGTAAAACCGCGAGAACCACTACTGCTTTTTGGGTTTTTGGCTAAGGTTGAGTGTGAAACTCGCTTCCCACACGCTTGGCAGTCTGTCTCAGTGTCGGCTGTCCCTAGTATCATCGGCTGTACCACTGGCGGCTGTATTACCATCTACGTCACAGGGAGGTAGGCGATGCAAACCAGCGAGCTAGCTAACACACATCCGGCAACGGGTCAGCATGGTGAAGACTAGGTACAAGGTGTGCCGAGCCTTTGCTACCATGGCCACAGACACCATGACCACAGGCAGGAGGTGTTTCAGCCAACAGTTTCTAGTTCCTTTCTAAGTAACTATCTAAGAAATGATTAATTAATCCACGCATTTTTTTTCCTTCTTCCCTTTAAAAAATCTTATTTGAGAGGCAGAGACAGAGACAGAATCAGACAGAGAGTGAGAGCCTGTCCACTGGTTCATTCCCTAAAGGCCCCCAAGAGCTGGGGCCAAAGCTTGGACCGGGAGCTCAATCCTGTTCTCCCGCATGGGTGCCAGCAAGCAAATGACCCGACTCATCACCACTGCCTTCCGGGGTCTACACTGCAGGAAGCTGCTCTCAGACCTCACACCCCGGCAGTGTGATGTGGGATCTGGGTTTCTTCATCCGCATCCTATCCACGAGGCTCAGCACACAGTGCTGCGCTTTCTTTTCATTGTTTCTTCATCCCCATGTGAGATCAGAGCCAATAAACACCATCTTAGAAGTAATCAGAGAAAAGGCAGCCAGAACCCGGCCACACTGGGCAGTCAGCTCCGGGAACTCCTGGGCTGCCTTTGCTACATGAGCAGTGTCACTCTTGGACACTGCCATGTCTGTCTTCACGGGGCCAAACTTCCTGTTACACGGTAGAGCAGAAATTTTAAAAGTGCTTATTAGAGGTGTAACAGGTGAGGCTCGTAGCAGACGAAAGGGAAGCACTGACCATTACAGCTGGGAAGACGGTCAGTGGACACAGGCTCATCAATGCTCTGAGCAAAATTAGACAGCTGAGTACAGAACAGGTGAGATACCACTGTGGTTTGAATCCAACAGGGCTCCCGACTCACACAGATGGTTCAGTCTTGAAGTCACAAACTGAATCCCACTCACGGTGTCCAGCAGGTAGCCCTCGCAGCCCCAGGCCCACCTGGGGTCGCCCAGCGAGCTGCCTGGGGAAGGTACTCTTCTCCAGAGGATGTGGTTATAGAAGCCTGAGTTGGGCTGAGCCCCCTGCTCGGCTCCTACGCATGCCTTGCCACCTGCCAGCCTCCCCAGACGGCTGACCCCCTGGGGCTATCCCAGCCCTCGACTGGGAGCCTTCGGTGCCTAAACCCAAATATTTAAGCCCTTTCCTTCCTAAGTAGCTTCTCTTAGGAATGTTGCTGCAGAACCGAAAAGCTGACCAGTACAGATACTAACTCCCATCTCACAGCTACACAGGGAGTACAGAACTGGGCTTTCTGTGGGCGTATTAAAGTGGTAGCCCCGAACACAGGCAGTAACTGTTCATGTGGACATAGACCAGGCTGGCTGTGGCATCACAGAGAACAGTTCTGCTTCAGAAAATCCATCCATCCATCCATCCGGTCCCTCAACAAACATGGCAGGTGCATCATCCCCCCACCGAGTATGTGGTACAAACAGCAGTGACTAAGACAGAACATCTCCCCTCTCGCACACAAGCAAGTGGAATCTGCACACGGAGGTGGCATTACAAGGCAGGTGTCAGTGTCATAGGAGGTGCACATGGCACTTGGGAGGCTTGCCGGAGTGGCACCAGACCGGGAGTGACAGAGATACCGTTACACCTTCACGACTCAAACGCCCGAGGATATGGCTCACCATGAACTTCACCACCCACGTCCTATGACGTGTGCAAAATCATCTCTGTTGACCTGAGATTTTAAACACAGCTTTGTAACCAAGCCAGGCAAGCCCAGAGGTATTTTAATCTGAAAGGAAAGAAGTGGATGCGCTCCCAGTCTCCCGTGCTGAGACGCACAGGTAAGCAAGAGCTCTCGAGCACGGTTACCTTGGTACCTGACCGCGGTTTACTCTTCCTTGCACCTTCTTGCTGCTCCTCAATAAGCCAAGAGATCACCGTTTTCATCCGTAACCTGTTTTCTCGGGGGGACTTACAAGCTGAGTTCAAAATTGAAATGCAATTTCCAAAGTACCAGGCAGTAATGGGATCTGGAAGACCTGTGTGCCAGCGGCACAGCATCACAGCCTGCACTCCCACTTCCCCTAGGGGCATTCGCAAGGCTCTGTGCAAAATGTCTTCAATCTGCCTTTCCTTTCTCTGCACTCTGAATTTCAAGACATGATGCACTCCACTGTCTATAAAAGCAAACAGGAACCACCCCAGTAGGAAAATATACCCTACAGGCGTTTAAAATAAATCGCGCCTGGTCTGCATGGGAAAAGCCTTTCTCTTAAAGAGCAGGAATATTGAATCGCTAATGCTCCATGTCAGCCACTCACCTGCCTTCCGCCTGGCAAGAAGCTCTGAGCCAACTCGGGTCCTTCCTGCTCTCTCTCCACTCCTGAGTGCCACAGGAAGTCACTGTAAGCTACTGATGGCACAGCTTTCGTTACAAGTGGCTGTGGCACTGGGGTTCCCACGCAAGGCTCAGGGCTCACGGGGGCAGGCATGGAATGGGCCTCCAGCGAACATAACACAGTCCACACTGCCACTGTTCCCAGGCTGCCAAAGGAGGACTCCCGACTGTGGCTGTGCGGGGCCACCTGACAGCGTGCAAGCCTGCCCGACAGCCAACCGTGAGAGCTCGGCTGCAGCAGCCCTGACACAGCGTAGCACGGCGGTTCGCCAGCATCTTGGTTTCAGAACTCATCTAATCTCTACAGATCACTCGGGACCCCACAGAGCTTCTGTGCATGTGGGCATGTTGTCAGTGTTTACTACAAGAGAAAGGAAGTTGGCCAATTTAAAAAATATTCACCAGTGCATCTAAAAAGAATAAACAGCCTAAGACCTCCTGTTGGAGGAAGGCCCCCACCCCTCCCATCCCCACAGCCCTCGCACTGTCCATTCCCCCAGCTGGAAAAGCTTCTGATCCATTTTAACCCATTCAGGTATGGGACGAGTGTTCTCCTGGCCAACCGCCTGCACCGCTGAAAGCCCCGTGCCATTGGCAAGGCCAGTCCTTTCTCACGGGGCGTTCCCTTTGGACGTCTGTCACCCCTGTGCCGGATGCTGGGCAGGGGCTGCAGCCCTGGGCCGGGCGTAGCCAGATCTCCTCCAAAATCTATGGACTCCAAGCAC